GCTCACTGCAGCCTCCACCTCCCCAGTTCAAGCAATTCTCCTGGTTCATCCTCCCGAGTAGCTGGGACTATAGGCGCCTGCCACCACGCCCAGCTAATTTTTTATATGTTTAGTAGAGATGGGGTTTCACCATGTTGGCCAGGATGGTCTCAGTTTCTTGACCTCATGATCTGCCTATCTCGGCTGCCCAAAGTGCTGGGATTATAGGCGTGAGCCACCACGCCTGGCCATCTCTAATATTTTCATATTAATCTTGGAACCTCCATGTTATCTCTGTTCACCTCTCTGAAAGAGATTGGCAAGAACTGAAACAGTGAGAAAAGGTTTTAGGGAAAAGCTCATGCTTAAAACTGAACAAGGTTGCCTGTGAGGCAGAAAGGATATTTATTATATTTTTTTAAAAAATTGTTATTTTTTTGAGACAGTCTCTCTCTGTCGGCAGGTTGGAGTGCAGTGGCGCAATCTCGGCTCACTGCAACCTCCACCTCCTGGGGTCAAGCAATTCTCCTGCCTCAGCCTTATGAGTAGCTGGGATTACAGGTATGCACCACCATGCCCGGCTAGTTTTTGTATTTTTGGTGGAGACGGGGTTTCACCAGGTGATCCACCCACCTTGGCCTCCCAAAGTGCTGGGATTACAGGTGTGAGCCACTGCGCCTGGCCCAGAAAGGACATTTAGATGTGGGGACCACTGCATCTTGCAGATAGGTAAACTGAGGCAGCAACAGGTGAAGGCTCAGTTATATTCATCCTGGGTCCCAGACTATCTCCAACCTGTAGCCTGAAGCTTTGTTTCCTTCTCCATAGGCCAGGATGACAGCAGTGACCTTCCATGGGATCTTTTCCTGGGATTTATTGAGCCACTGAGGTCATTGGCCTCAGGCCACCTGCCTCTCTTGACTGACTAGTCTGCAAGGAAGACACTGTGTGTATTTATTTTAGTTGCTCCTCTGTAACTTCCGGGTGCTTGTCTCAGAGCAACAGTGCTTTAAAAAATGTCTCTGTGCGTGTGTGTTTCCCCACTTTGAGCCATGAAATATGTTACATCTGTTTTTTTTCTAGTCTAAAACATTTCCATATCATTGTACTCCTGGGGAAATGCATACATGGATAGACAATGGGCAAAAAAATTGTGTTGGGAGAATTAAATGAACCAATGCATGTCAAACAGTGAGCACTTTGACTCAATAATAATAATAAGGCCAGGCACGGTGGCTCACGCCAGTAATCCCAGCACTTTGGGAGGCCGAGGCGGACAGATCACAAGGTCAAGAGATCGAGACCATCCTGGCCAACGTGGTGAAACCCCGTCTCTACTAAACATACAAAAAATCAGCCCGGCGTGGTGGCAGGTGCCTGTAGTCCCAGCTACTTGGGAGGCTGAGGCAGGAGAATCGCTTGAACCCAGGAGGCAGAGGTACTGCACTCCAGCCTGGGCAACAGAGGGACACTCTGTCTCAATAACATCACCACCACCACGACCACCAGCATCACCACAGTGCATCATTATGATCAGTGTTATTTTTCTTTATCAATCTTGATAGTTGACTTGTGTAACTCACAGTATAGCAGCTTATTCGACAACTAAAATGCTTTGGTTCTTCCTGTGTGCCAGGAACAGCAATAAATTTTATGTCCTAAGATTAGTATGGTTAGAAATGCATGTGACAGTGGTTCTCACACACTGGTGTGCAGTGGACACGCAGCCTGTGGAGTTTCCAGCATTCCTTGTTAAAAAGAGATAAAGGATAAAGGGCTGAGATTCTCTTGAAGCTAAATGAACCTAAATATTACTTGATTCAAGGGATCATCCTTCAATGAGAATATGTGCTTCCTGTATTTTTTGGAAGAAAATATTTCCTTTTGTGAGACAAGAATGTTAGTAGGTGGTAAGTACCTTTTATTTGGCAAAGTAAAAAGTTGTGGGCCTCTGTCGACCCTTCACATTTTGGTGTGTGTGATGTTTGAAACTGCATTGGTCTGTAAAATCCCAAACCCAGGTAGATGAAACCAAAAAGTGTCAGGGCTGGAAGGGACCCTAGGAATTAGTAAAGGAGTACAGCCTTCATTTCATAAAGGACTTCAGACTCAGAGAAGGCATGTGAGTTGCCTGAGGTCACACAGCAAATCTGAGGCAAGCCAGGGCTAGAAACCCAGAGAAGATGGTTATGAGCACTGGTTTTGGGTCATCCATTTGAACACACCTGTGTTCCAAATTCTGCTTCTGTTACTTATGAGTCATTTATTTGAACACATCTGTGTTCAAATTTCCTTCTGTTACTTATGAGCTGATTTCTTACCTATGAAAATGGGATACCTACCCAAGGGGTTCACAGGAGGATTTAATGAGATGATTTCGATTAGGAAAAACTGGCAAATTTCCCCTTCCTTCTTCTCCCTGCTTCCCCTTCCCCTGTTAATAATAGATCCTTGGGATAGGTCATTGAGCAACATCAGTAGGAAGGGCTTTGCTTTTTGCAAAGTCTCTGCATGTATGATTACAATCCTAAGTAATATCAGCTGTTACTTGTGTTAGTTTCTCAGCTCTCCCTTGGTCTCTCTCTTTAGCTGTTGAATGAGTTTAAAGATCTAGGAAGAGCTTTGAAACCCCTCTACCAGCGCCTCTGTCTCCAGTCCCAGCACAGGTCTTTGGAGGATGGGATAAAAAGGGTTTTGCCCAGGGTCAAGTGCCGGGTATGCAGCTTGGTCACTCCTTCCTTTCTTGAGATGACCTGTCCCCTTCTTGGAGACCCTAGATGATTGACAACAATAACATTCCTTTGTAGCGTTTTCTTTCTCATCTAGAGCACCGGGAGGCCGCCTTTTCACAGAGATATCACAGAGTAGCAAGCATGCAGAAACCTCATGACATCCTGGCAGCTTTCAAGACCAAAGAACATCCCATGTTCCCTCTTAAAGGCTTGTAATAACTGCCATAAATTATCTTGTGGGAATGGCATGCCCCGGCCTAAGATGTGTGGTACCGGGCTCTCCTGGTGACAGTTTTAGTGGCTGCATATGTTTGCAGAAGAAGGAAGCGTGGTAACTTGGCAAACAGCTCCCAAGCACCCCTGGCTTGCTGCCATAGGATTGTCCTCAAAACCCAGGCACAGCGATGTGTGAAAAATGCCTACCTTTGCTTTTGGCATCCAGTGGGCCTTCTATGGGCCCTCTGTAGAGGGCATCACCTGGGGATTCCTGACCCTGGTCAGGTCCTCAGGTCTTTCTGTGTTCCTCTCTCTATTACTTGAGTATCTGCTGCTTACAGCTCTTGTGTTCTGCAGGACGGCTGAGTTCGGTACCCAAGATAGGCCTGTCTGTGCACAAGGCTGTCTCCTTCTCCCCATCCTGCTCCTCTTCCTCTGAAAGGGGAGGAATCACACGTGGGTTCTCTACTGAGGCTTGTTGTGCTTGGCTCAGGGCGATGTTAGCAAATGCAGTCTCCACCCTGCCGTGCCATATTAAGGGAATGTAGGCTGTATTGGCTTCTGCCACGTCAGCGCACATGCTTTGTTTTAGTGACTCTGTGAAGAGTTTATCATCTGTTATTGATTCAGGTAACACACTTCTCTCTCCTCATTTTGGTGCTACTCCCCTTTTTCGTCACTGGTCAGTGTGCCGTGTGGCCAGGAGGGCTGTGTGTTGTCTTCAAGAACCACTTTGGACATTTTTGCTTTGGTTATTTATTCATGCCAACATGTTGTTAAATGGCGTGAAATAAAACCCCATTTTAAAGAGAAATTGTAAAAGGAAGCTACGTCCTGTGTGGAAATTATGACAAGCACAGAAACATGTTAGAAAAAATAAACATTGGCCAGGAGTGGTGGTTCACGCCCATAATCCCAGCACTTTGGGAGGCCAAGGTGGGCGGATCACTTGAGACCAAGAATTTGAGACCATCCTGCACAACATGGTGAAACCTATCTCTGCTAAGAATACAAAAACGATCCAGGCAGAATGGCAGCTACTCAGGAGGCTGAGGCAGGAGAATTGCTTGAACCCGGGAAGTGAAAGTTGCAGTGAGCCGGGATTGCCCTACTGTACTCCAGACTGGGCGACAGCAAGACCCCATCTCAGAAACAAACAAACAAATAAAAAATGAATATTGCCTGTTTCCTATCACCTGAGGAGCCCGTTGTGAATGGTTGTGTGTCTTTTCAGTCTTTTAAAAAATGTGTTAAATTCAGTTGTCATAGTGTGTATGTATACATTTTTAAGCGGAGTTGATGGATTTCATGTGAAGAGCTGCTGTGTGCTAAATGTAAAATGCTTAGCAAGATGCTTGGCACCTGGAGCTGTTCGCAGTAAATGGAAGGAATTTTTATGGAGGATGTAAGGTAGCGTGGACTCCGGACCCAGACTGCCCCGTTCCCGGCCCGGCTCTGCTGTATCTGGCTGCTGGAGCCTTGAGCCAGCCATGGAAGTACAGCGCCTTCATTTCCTCATCTGTAAAATGAGGGTGATTATCATATACCCCAAAGTGTTGTCATAAGGATTTAATGGAATATCCCCTATAACATCCTTAGGGAACTGCTTCCTGGTAGTCATCTCATAGTGCGTATTGGTTGTTATTATTAAAGAAAAGGATGGAAAGCACTGTTTTTTTTTTGAGACAGAGTCTTGCTCTGTCACCCAGGCTGGAGTGCAATGGCGTGATCTCGGCTCACTGTAACATCCGCCTCCCAGGTTCAAGCGATTCTCCTGCCTCAGCCTCCCAAGTAGCTGGGACTACAGGTGCATGGCACCATGCCCAGCTAATTTTTGTATTTTTAGTAGAGACAGGGTGTCACCATATCGGCCACGCTGGAACTCCTGACCTCGTGATCTGCCTGTCTTGGCCTCCCAAAGTGCTGGGATTACAGGCATGAGCCACTGCGCCCGGCCGGAAAACACATTTTTAGACATAGCAGTGTTCAGTCCTCTCTTCCCGAACCAAGGAAACTCTCTTTAATACCCCGTCTACTGTGTGATCCACGGTCCGCCTGGGAGCAGCCCTCGAGGGCAGTCACAGCACTTGTCCCCTGCACAGTGCAGCGCCTACCTGTGCATCCTTAGCTGATGCATGAGGCTCACAGCCCCAGGGGCCTGCATCCTTCCCTTTCTCCGGGTACTCTGTTTTCTCTCCTCCAAGCACTTACTCCCCAAGCTTCAGGGAGGAAGTGGGAGGTGGTCTCTCTCTCCTAGACCTCCAGTGCACACCGGTCTCCTCTCTTGAAGGGCCAACAGAGGCTGGTGGCTGGTTTTCACGTGTCTCCTGAAGCTACCCCTAAGGAGAAGGCTTCAGTGTCATCTTCCAGTCAGAGATGAGCATAGTGGCCTTCTTAAGGGACAGATCTGTGCAGCAGGATAGCACCTCTGTTGTCCTCCCAGACCAGCAGTGGGTGCATGCAGGCCTTGCAGGCTGTTTCCTGCCCTGGAATGCTGCTGTCATTCGGACCCAGCACACCTCAGTGTCAGAGAAGGCTGGTTTGTTTGAAACAGTCAGAATGTCATAAATACCTTATGATGAACATTTTCCAGATGTGCTTAAATTCGAGAGGCCAGGGGTGTACCTTTCCCTTTCCTGAGAAGAGCGTGGGCCACCGGCTTTTCCATCTTCGATCCCTTCGGGTGCCTGTGCCCTGGAGCTGTCCGTCACCTGGTCCTGCCCGCCTGGGTCTGTGGCCAGCGCTCTCCACTGTGAGTCATTCAGGACCAGTCCTTGTCCTGCTGGTGCATCCGCCTCATGATGTCAAGCATTTTGGGAAAGGCACCCAGCCTGCCCTGCTCCAAAGGATGAGCATGGGAGGTAGTGATGCTTCCTAAACCCAAGGCTGGTTGTCACTACCTTCCAAAGACTTCAGATGAGGGCATTGACCTATTTGCCTAGGAGGGGTTCTTCAATCTGCAATCCAGCAAACCCTCCTTGATGCAAGGCAGAGGGTGTGTGGGCCCTTAGGAAACAATTGTGCCCCGAGGAGGAAGGTGGGGCCATGTTAGGAGACTGTGCCCGGGAGCTGCGGGCGAGTCGTATGGTCTTGGGCGATTCCCTTCCTGTGTTTGCATCTCCACCTTCCCATTTGTAAAATGGAGATGGGAACATCCCTTATGCCACAGAATGCTCTTAGGATTACGTAAGGCATTGGAATGTTTCCTGGCTTTCAGAAGAGCTCCGTAGACGCTTGCTATTGCTCTAATATCATTACCGTCTCAGATTTGCATTTTGTTATTTCCCTGTGAGGCGTTAAGTGTGTGAACGTGTGTGTGTGTATGTATGTAAAAGGTCAGGCTACAAAATAAAATCTTTTTGGGCCGTAGCGCAGGATGGCTCTTTTTAGTTATGGGTGTTTGGTGACTGCTGGAGAAGTCACTACCCAGCTGATCTCACCAATACTCTCTGCTTAAAGGCAGCTCTTGACTTGGGTTTCTCTAGGATGAAAACATGTAGTTGTTTACATAATTTTTCTTTTCCTTTTCTGCTCTGGATTTGACATTTTGTTCCTTCAGGTGATTAAAAGTCACCTGCTTCCTCAGAATTGGTTTCAAGGCAAGACTAAGTGAACCAACCAGAGTGAAGTCAGTGTTTTGGAAATACCTCCTGAGCAGTCTTGATCTTTATGCAGGACTGTTATTTCAAAGGATGCTGTCCCCTCCCCAACCACAAGAATGATCCAAACCTGTTTTCTGGGGCCTGGAGTTTGCTGGGGGTAGGACCGGGCCTGAAGCTTTCACTGCTGGTTGTGGGGTAGGGATAAGCCTCCCCTGTCAAGCTGGTAGGTTATAGGCTTTGGCAGCATGAATTGTTATTTCTGGAGTCCCCTGGGTGCGGTTTAGAAATGCAGGTAGGTGGCTGGGTGTGGTCGCTCATGCCTGTAATCCCAGCACTTTGAGAGGCCAAGGCAGGTGGGATTGCTTGAGCTCACTCAAGACTGGGCAACATAGTCAAACCCCATTTCTACAAGAAATACAAAAATTAGCCAGGCATGGTGGTGCATGCTTGTCATCCCAGCTCTCAGTAATCTGAGGCAGAATTGCTTCAGGAGGCAGAGGTTTCAGTGAGCCAACACCATGCCATTGCACTCCAGCCTGGGCGACAGAGCAAGACTCCATCTCAAAAAACCAAAAAAAAAAAAAAATAAATAAAAAAAACCACAAAACAAAACAGGTAGGTGCTTATAGCTACTGCTGTAGGATAGCAAGGTAGTTACCAAACTGATAAGGGTAGCTAGCATCTTACTGTTGAAAAGTTCAGTGTCTTTTTCCTTTTTTCTTTTTTTTGAGACAGAGTCTTGCTCTGCTGCCCAGGCTGGAGTGCAGTGGTGTGATCTTGGCTCACCACAACCTCCACCTCCTGGGTTCAAGCGATTCTCCTGCCTCAGCCTCCCAAGTAGGTGGGATCACAGGTGTGTACCACCATGCCCAGCTAATTTTGTATTTCTAGTAGAGATGGAGTTTCTTTATGTTGGTTAGGCTGGTCTTGACCTCAGGTGATCCGCCTGCCTTGGCCTCCCAAAGTGCTGGTATTACAGGCTTGAGCCACCGCACCCGGCCCGATTTTATATATTTTTTGTTTACTCAAATTGCCTTTTTGAAATAGATTGATACTCTATAAGAAGTAAATGCTGTGAATTTGGAATTTTCAAATTAAGGCTTACTAATAATGTTACCCATTTTATCTGAGTTTATCTTATAAAATGTAATTTCTCAAGAAGATGTTTCTGTTCCCCCCGCCCCCCCACAAAACAAGGGAAGCCACTGGTTGCTAATGGCTCCTGCAGCTCTGACGATCCATGATGAAGTGTTCTTTGATTAGGTGTCAAGATGAGTGGTGCAGGCCTTTGACAGACACATGATTGTGGTTGGAGAAGGCCCAGCATTAACTGCTGACCTTGCCATCTGTGAGCAGGTGTTGAATGAGCTTGGTTCCCTCCCAGCCCTTCTTTTCCCTGGTGGGTCATTGGCTCCTGAGTAAGATAGATGCACGCAATAGAAGAGCTGTTAATAGCATTTACTCTTTCTTAATCCTTATTCATCCCATTCATATTTCAGTGTCTGAAACTTGGCAGGATGTCAGCAGCCACAGTGCAAGCAGGGAAATTTTTCTTTGAAAAGCAAGGACCAAGTACAGTGTTCCCCTGATATTTAATTTGCTAAAACATGTAAGAAGAAAATTCTTACATTGTTAGGTCCCAAAGAGAGTGCCACCATGGGATCTTGCCAAAATGACCTTGCTGGAGCTTCTTTTTCTTCTTCTTCTTTTTTTTTTAATGAATGGCAGTAAAGTCATTTTGTCAAGCTAACAGAGTACCGTAATGAGATCTTCGTGGCATAAGTTTACTGAGTGGGGAAATAACTTTGACAGAGGTTGATGCCCGAAATGAAGTGTCTGTCTGTCTGATGTCAAGCGTGTGGGGAATCTGAACCTTCTCGCACTCTTTCCTGATAAGACATTAGCCTCTGCGTGGGGTTGTCGCCCCAACTTTTTGATTAGCAGGACCTGTTTTCTTGCAGATCTAATGCAAGGATTTGGAGAACCCCAGTAAAATGCCGTAGGGTCTTAGACTGATCTCTCTTGGGATGTGTCGAATTGGAGATTTGGTGGGTTTTTCTGCTGTGTTCACTGCGATCAGTGCATTTGAAGTCTGTATGTGGCCTTTAAGGCTGTGTTTGGTGCGCAGAAGTTCTGTGTCACAGAGCGGCCCCCAAATGTTCGATTTTGGATTAGATTTTGGGTCAACTTCAGGGTGGCAAGAGGATGGATGCCCAAGAACACATTGTCTCCAACTTCCTGGCCCGTCCTTTCTAAGTTCTGGGTAGTGATGGGTCTTTGGAGGGGCAGCCCTTTCTGCCATGTGAATCTTTGCCCGGCCCTGAGGGGGTGAGGCCTGGCCAAGGGAGCTGGGCCCCGGTCGGAGAGAAGGCTGAGGCTCCTTGAGGAGCATTTGGAGTTTGGGTCAGTTGTGTGTTTTAAGAAAATTACCCATTTTGGACTTGTCTGTGGAAGCAATTAGAGAGATCACAGGACCGTTTCTGATTCCCAATTCTGTCCAGTGTCTATTCAGAAAAATAGAAAACAGTCAACTGGAACAGGGGATTATTTGAGCACACACAGAGTCCTGTTGTCTCAGCAGCGTGCCTTCAGACAATTTGCCTTTTAGTGAAGTTTAAGCCCATGAAAGGAAATAAAAAGTGTTTTATTAGATGGCAAAGAAAGATGGACTGGACTTACGCGACTTTGAGAATTTTAGCTTTTTCTTTGTTAATGCAAACTTTGGAAGAGAGCGACTCTTTCTATAATGCAATTTATTTGTACAATGTGGTAATTATTGTTAATAGTTAATAATTATCTTCAACTGAGTAAAATACCATTGTGTGTTTGAGAGGGAGAGAGGGATGGGTAGAAGGTGGGGGAGAATATCTTTTGTTCAAAGCTAAATGTTGCTACTTCTGACGATGAGTGCACCTTATGGATGTAACCAGCTATAATGTTTATTAAGCATACACTTTTTTTTTTTCTTTCTTGAGACAGAGTCTTTGCTCTGTCACCCAGGCTGGAGTGCAGTGGCACCATCTCACTCACTGCAGCCTTTGCCTTCCGGGTTCAAGCGGTTTCTCCTCCCTTGCCTCCTGAATAGCTGGGATTACAGGTGCACGCCACCACACTCAGCTAATTTTTGTATTTTTAGTAGGGACGGGTTTGTGCCATGTTGGCCAGGCTGGTCTTGAACTCCTGACCTCAGGTGATCCACCCACCTCAGCCTCCCAAAGTGCTGGGATTACAGGGCTGAGCCATCGCGCCCTGTCTCAAGCATATACTTTGTACAAGTGCTTGTCGAAGTTCTTTGCTGCCAGAGCTGTGGCTGACCACATTGCTTCCCCCATGAATATGTGAAAACTGATGCTTCAGGAGAATTGGTGGCTTACCTGTGGCATTCAACTAGTGGGTTATGGAGCAGAGACTCAAACCCAGCCCTCACTCCCACAGCACTCTTCTTTTCCTGTAAATCGCTGACTTACTCAGTTGATCACAGTCGATTGCCGTTTACAGATGTGTCTGCACCCATTGTGCCTTTTAAGCGTAGCTTTTCTCTCCTGAACGCACACAGAGCAAAGCACGGGCTCCGCAGTGTGACCCACGTGTGCCGAGTGGATGGATGATGCCGGTCAGCAGGTGGGAAAAGGATCTGCTGGGCGCCGAGGGGCAGAGGATTGGTTTTCCTGATCTTGGTATGAAAACGGTGTTAAGTTCTTAGTCATTGAGGAAAATCACTCTTCGCCCAAATTCCTGAGAAGGCCGATGAGATTGTTATCTAAGATTTGTTGGATTGCTGGATTTGTTGAGGGGAGAAATGGAAGAAGCTGTCAGAAGTGTACAGGGCGTCAGAGGGAGGCCCTCCCTTTGGGCACTTTCTCCCCCAAAACTATCCTGGTTTTAGCCCAACAGGTTCCTGCCCCCCTCCACCAGCCTCACTTGTTTAAAGACTATTAAAGAATGTCTGCAATTTATTCTGGATTGAGTTTTCCTCCAAACAAAGCAACTCCCAGTTCACCCCCTAGAGTTGTTCAGGCCCTTCCAGGGGGCTTGTGGCTGTGGCTGCCTTGGATCAGAACAGACTCAGGGCTGCATCATCCTTCTTCATTGTCCCTCTACAGCACCTGAAGCCAGCTGTTCTCAAACTTTAGAGAGTGTTTGAGCCACCTGGAGAGCTGATAAAGAACAGAGGCCTGGGCTGGTTTGAGCCCAGGCTGACTGAAGTTGAAGAGTGCTGGGCCGTTGTGTTTTTACTGAGTTCCCTGGATGGTTCTGATACCTCCCAGCCTGTGAGAACCACTTCTTTGTGATTTCTTGCCTTTGAAATTTTTTCTAACCTTCTTCTTCGTCTTTTTTTTTTTTTTTTTTTTTTTGAGATGGAGTCTTTCTCTGTCACCAGGCTGGAGTGCAGTGGCCCGATCTTGGCTCACTGCAACTTCCACCTGCTGGGTTCAAGTGATTCTCCTGCTTCTGCCTCCCGAGTAGCTGGGACTACAGGCACATGCCACTATGCCAAGCTAATTTTTGTATTTTTAGTAGAGACAGGGTTTCACCATGTTGGCCAGGATGGTCTCGATGTCCTGACCTTGTGACCTGGCCACCTGGGACTCCCAAAGTGCTGGTATTACAGGTGTGAGCCACCCTGCCTGGCCTCTCACCTTCTTCTTGGCTTGATCACTGTTTTGTGGTCCTTCCTGCTGCCCAAATCAAATTTAGTTTTTGTGTCCCTGCTCTCATCCTTCAGCCCACCCTCCTGCTCCCCATCCAGCCAGCCCCCTGCCAGCCAGTTCAAGTGCTAGGCATGGGGTATTGAGTCTCAGGCCAGTCCATAGACATTCCAGCACCTGGTGGTCAGAGGTGAGTGCTGAGCGGACCCACCAGGAAAGGGTCTGGCTGAGCTGGGGTGGGGAGTTTAGAGGGGTCATCCTCACAGAAGGATGAGCAGGAGTTGAGTGGGCAAAGGAGGGAGTGAGGAAGCTCTCACTTTCTAGGTAGTAGGACTGGCATGAGCCAAGATAGAGGATGACAGCTTGGCTCATTCAGGGAATTTGCGGTATGTTGATACATGGAAAAAGGCACCTGAAATGTGAGTCCTGCTTTGGTGACTCACCCTTTCCTTTACAGAAGCATTGATTTACAGCTGTTGTTTTTTAAAAAAGTGTATATGTTGAAAAGTTCAGAACGAGATCAAGTGGAGACATAAAATGGTAAGATGTGAAAAGTTGTTGTTCCTGCCAAATTAATTTAAATGGTTTCACCTAAAGGAGTTTTTTTTTTTTTTGGGAGATGGAGTCTGACTCTGTTGCCTGGGTTAGAGTGCAGTGGTGCAATCTCAGCTCATTGCAACCTCAGCCACCCAGGTTCAAGCAATTCGCCTGTCTTAGCCTCCTGAGTAGCTGGGATTACAGGCATATGCTGCCATGCCCGGTTAATTTTTTTTGTATTTTAGTAGAGACAGGGTTTCACCATGTTGGCCAGGCTGGTCTTGAACTCCTGAGCTCAGGCAATCCACCCGCCTTGGCCTCCCAAAGTGCTAAGATTACAGGCGGGAGTCACCACACCCTGCCTGAAAAAAATTTTTTTGTTTATTTCTTTGTTCCTTTTGCTGGCCTTTAAGCAACGCAAGACTAGGGGACTTTCACTCGGTCCCTAGAGAGCTCAAAGGGCCTGGCTTATGGGACAGTCAGTGAACTGGGATGAATGAATGAGTTTCAGACCCAGGTGTTTTGGACTTTACCTTTCTGGGCCTCTTTCCTCAACGCTAAGCAGAGGCCGTTGGTATAGATAATCCCTAGGATCTTGTCCCCTCTCTGACTGATCACACAGTTGCACTGCTTGCCCCTGAGGCCCTGGTGTCCATGCCTACCTATTCACCCTGGCCCACAAGTGGCCAGGTCAGCTCTGTTCCAGGCCCTGAAAACCCCATTAAAGCTTCACTCACCAGCCAGTTCCCAGGGGGTGCTGAATGAGCATGTAATAGGGAAGACCATGTGCTAGGCTCCGGTGGGGAGGAAGTCTGTGAGTCCTCTTACCTCAACAGTTTCTCCTCTAACTAGTAGGATAAGGTAAACTCATGGAAAAGCGTGGCTTATGCTGAGGCTCACAGAGTGGGTCAGGTTGCACATGTCCTGGACACCACAGGGCCTGCTCTGAGAAGGCAGCTGTAGTCCCACCTCCTTGACCACCAGCCACCATCCTCTGTTTCCAGTGGATCCATATTTCAAATCATTTTATCTCCTAAATGACCTATATTCATTTGTTTCTTCCCTTGTCTTTTTTTTTTTGAGACGGAGTTTCACTCTTGTTACCCAGGCTGGAGTGCAATGGCGCGATCTCGGCTCACTGCAACCTCCGCGTCCTGGGTTCAGGCAATTCTCCTGCCTCAGCCTCCTGAGTAGCTGGGATTACAGGCACGCACCACCATGCCCAGCTGATTTTTTGTATTTTTAGTAGAGACGGGGTTTCACCATGTTGACCAGGATGGTCTCGATCTCTTGACCTCGTGATCCACCCGCCTCGGCCTCCCAAAGTACTGGGATTACAGGCTTGAGCCACCACGACCGGCCTCTTCCCTTGTCTTATGCACCAAAAATCTCCAACTGGAAATTTAGACAGGCATTGAGATCCTGTGTTCTAAAATTGGATTGATGGAAATCTAGACGAAAGCAAAGAAGCAATGACAGTAATAATAGAGTTATCCTCTCTCAAATGCTTGCCTCGTGCCTGCTGCTATTTCACTTAGTTCTCAAAGGCTTGAGGAGGGTCCTGCCATAATCCTTACTTTCAGAGGGGAAGATTGAAATTTAGCTCAGATCTCAAGCTAGTAATTGTCAGAACCAGGATACAGAATCAGGACCAGACCACATGGTCCCCGCTCTGAGTTGCTGTGGGTCTGTCCCTGTGGCTCTGTCCAGGGTAAATGCATGATTTAGGGAAGGGTCAGCAAACTACAGCTCATGGGCCAGTGCAGCCACCTCTTGTTTTTGGATGGCCCAAGAGCTAAGAATAGTTTCTACATTTTTAAATGGGTGAAGAAAAAATCAACAAAGAATAATGTTTCATGACGTGAAAATTACATGAAATACACATCTAATGCTTGTAAGTAAAGTTCTATTGGAACTCAGCTATGGTCATTAGTTTACGTGTCATCGATGACTGATTTCACAGTACAAGGGCAGGGTTTAAAGCCTGTCAGGCCTAAAATGTTTCCTGTGTGGCCTATTACAGAAGTTGTTTGCCGCCCCCTGATTTAGGGCATTCATGAAGCTTGATGAGATGTTGAAAATCACCTGTCACTTCCTGTCACTCTTCTGATTGTGGGTAGGCTCTGATGCACCAGCTCTCCAGTGATCTCTCTGACGCTCAGAGTTCTCTTTCCATTGCATGGATATCAAATAAAACTGTCTGCTTTGTGGCATTTCTGGCTTGAGAGTACCTGCCCAGCGTGATTTGCCAAGGTGCCATTTTATCAAAAGTCTTAGGATGACTGGATGTGTTTGCCTTGAACTTTTTTTTTTTTTTTTTTTTTGGCCTTTGCTGATGGATGTATTTAGGTTATCGTTGAAAGTGGATTGCTGAACAGCGGCAGTTTCCTGTGCTGTCTGGATTGAAGTCGAATGATGCCCTAACTTTTAATTGAAAGGGACTGTTGTAGGCAGGAGACTGTGTCTAAGAGCTGACCTATCACCACCACCTGAGGTGTCTGAGCCCACCCTTAGATTTTTTTTTTTGTTGTCGTTCCAATTTGGCTTTTAGTTTTAATTTTGCTTATAGGTGTTTATTTTTTATTTTCTGTTTTTTTTTACACAAAAGTTTTGATTATAGCATTGAATTTATCCATTTTGTATAACTTCTCAATAATGAATTCACAATTGGAAACATCTTTTTTTTTTAAAGTAATGATGGCCTCCCCTTTTTTTTTTTTCGGTACAGGATGTTGCTCTGTTACTCAGGCTGGAGTGTAGCGGCAGAATCACGGCTCACTACAACCTTAACCTCTTGGGCTCAAGCAATCCTCCCACTTCAACTTCCCAAGTAGCTGGGACTACAAGTGTGCACCGCCATGCCTACCTAACTTTTACAATTTTTTCTAGAGATGGGGTCTTACTAAGTTGCCCCCGGCTGGTCTTGAACTCCTGGGCTCAAATGTCCTTCTAATCTCGTACTCCCAAGCCACCCTTAGACTTCACTGGCATGTGGGGGAGGAGGGAGCCTGGGTCCTGGGCTCCCAGCTAAACTCGGCAGACCCCACTGGCAGGTGTGGGTTGTGGGGCTGATAGAGGCTTTGTGGAGGGCATTGTGTTCCTTGGGTAGAGTTGGGGTGGCTGCTTTGGGGGCTCAGTACAGCTCTGGCCATGATGGGCAGCACGAGACAAGAATGTAGCCAGTCCGAGAATTTCAGCCCAAGTTCCTCCTTTCTTTCTTTTTTCTTTTTCAGACAGAGTCTTGCACTGTTGCCCAGGCTAGAGTGCAGTGGCGCAATCTCCGCCCACTGCAGCCTCCACCTCCTGGGTTCAAGTGATTCTCCTGCCTCAGCCTCCCGAGTAGCTGGGATCACAGATGCCTACCACCACACTGGCTAATTTTTTTGTATTTTTAGTAGAGATGGGGTTTCACTATGTTGGCCAGACTGGTCTTGAACTCCTGACCTTGGGATCTGCCCACCTTGGCCTCCCAAACTGCTGGGATTATAGGCTTGAACCACCATGCCCGGCCTGTTCCTTCTTTCATGCAGCAGAATCCAAGACACCGACTTGGCCCTCTCTGCTGTTCAGGCTTCTGTGTTAGCAGAGATGCCTTCTGGCCCTTCTTTATCGTAGCGAGGCTGGGCGTGGTGGTGCATGCCTATAATCTCAGCACTTTGGGAGGCTGAGGTGGGTGGATCACCTGAGGTCAGGAGTTCGAGACCAGTCTGGCCAACATGGTGAAACCCCATCTGTACTAAATACAAAAAATTAGCCAGGTGTGGTGGCGTATGCCTGTAATACCAGCTACTTGGGAGGCTGAGGCAGGAGAATCATTTGAACCCAGGAGGCAGAGGTTGCAGTGAGCCGAGATCATGCCATTGCACTCCAGCCTGGGCAACAAGAGCAAAAGTCCGTCTCAAAAAGAAAAAAATGAAGATGATCAAATGGACTTCCAAGTGCCCATGTCTCAGGTTCAGTACTGATCAGCATTAACCTGCCCTTGCTTCAGCCCTCACCTGTCATTGCTCATGGCTGAGAGCGGCTAAGTGACTTGCTCAGGTTGCTGTAGCTGATTGGATCCCGCTGTCCTCAAAGTTCCCACACTCAGTGACTGACAGTGCCAGGTGACTTTCCTTTTGAGGTCCGTGACATTTGCTGCTGTTTCTAAACCCTACTGTGTGCTGCTAATCCCCTCACCAAGCTTGCAGAGTGGATGGTAACTGACAGGTG